CTAATATTTTAACTGAGAAAGTAGGATCTCTTTCCACCGTTGTTCGACTATACCTTGCCTCTGTCAGTTTAGTGTTGTTTTAACAAAGGAACAAGAACGACAGTTGACCTGCGTATAGCAACGTTGGTTTCGACGCACAATGATGGTTAAATGGCAGAACCGCGAAAGGAATGACTCCATTCTCTTCCTGGCAAAGATTGCCTAAGTAGATGTGGAGTTTAAGGTTGTACCTGTTAGACAAACTGGCAGCAAATAAACCATTTATTCCAGCCCATGTGCTTACCGTATTAGAGCCAAAACAGACGTCGACCAGGGGGCCAGCGTGTAATATGCAGGAACAACGTAGAGGCAAATCTGATTTTGAACAGGAATACCTTGTTCTATAACGCAGTAACCATTGTCTTACAATAAATGTGTTGAAAAGCGCGATTACATAGGACATCACAAACTAGAGACGTTCTGTATATGCAAACGGCTTAAAGTCATGATTTCATTCACCGCTATTTTTATGCGGTTTCGCACGACTTCAAAATTTGGGTTAATAAACTGCGGGGTATGTTAACGAGTACAATTCCACTATAACGAGATGCGTGGTGTTATGTCACTCGCCCAGTGATCGTAGACGCTTTGGAGGGACTATAGTTGACAGTTAGGTTCCATGAATAGCAGCAATATGTCGAATCGTTTTATTAGCTAACATGATACCTTACTCGTATACGAATATTTTCACAGTATCTGAACCTCCTGTTTTCTCAAAACTAAAAATGCTAATTCACAAACCGGTTGCGAACTTTAAAATTTGCTTCATTATGTTATCGTACTAACTATTCTTTCTAGGTAGCTGTAGATCCGTTCCAGTAAACTACGGCTCTAGTGATTGAACATACGTGATGCGTCGATGCAGTTCACATCATTTTATTCGTTAGTTCGTAGTATTAATTTTTACTAGTGAGGTTCATAGAACCGATACTCCCTTCGTAATTTTGTCAAACATCCAAAATATCGATTCGTACCACGGAAGTATGATACGGAGGATAGTTCCTCCTAACTGGAGTGAAGGGCATTGTGGCACCGGCCCTGGTTCCGAAACTCCTTTGGAGCCCATTGTTACAAGCCAGTTTTCATGATAACTGAGCACTTGCGGTACATTAGCGCATACTGTAGTAATGTCCCATTCCTTTTGTGTCATGAAGCCGTATGCAGTAATCGCGCTCCCGATTCATTTTGGTCATGAGCAACTAGCCTTTGAGATGTAATACAGAATGATGAGATGTATCTAGCACTACAGGTACTCAAATATTATAGAGCCGTTGCTTATTTTAATGGTTCCGACGCATTCGAGGGAAAGGAAACACTGCATAATACCATAAAAATCTTGTGGAGGGGCAATTACATCTCTTACTGGTCTAGGGTTTCAATATTTGTTTAAGAAGTATCTGTTAGTATCCATTGCATGCAGTAAAGTTTCGAGATGAAACCAGGAGCCCTACGTTTGGAATTTTTTACTTTTGTAGTGTAGGTTAACTGTAATTGCACTTAGGTTAGTTTTTCTATTTTTTGTTTGCGGTTGTGTGAACGGATCGGATTTAGTTCAATTTTTGTTTAGGAAATCCTCATCGTACATCCTTTTAAAAGTGTAAGCAACTGGAACAGTGGCAACACTTATTTTCACCTAACATTCGGCAACCTGATCAAAGGGTCCAGACTTCTCTGCGAAACCACTGTCGTAAGTTTCATGAATTTGCCGTCGTACACATTTAATGACTTAAAAGAATGTGTTCTATCATCTTAGGTTATAACTTGGCTAGGTTTGAAGTCGATAAGTTAGTCGATAACTCTTTAGAGTGTAACGACGTCTTTACTTTTCATTTTTAAGTAACTCACTAAAAATAATTTCTTTTGTAGTTAAGTTTCTGATTTGTGTAAGACAAACATGCAATTATATTATAGCGGATGATACACTCTTTGTGTAAAGCAAAATGAAGATTGATCTGCAACGCTAGCCATACGACTGAAACGTGATCCTATGTTAACGCGTTAAGTTAGATGTTATTACAGAGCTATTGTGAAAGTTACATAGTTGCATATCAGTTCAGTTCATAGGTAAACGGCAAGAAAGTTAAGTTAGATGTCAATGCTCTCTTTAAGAAAATTCATAGACACTTGCCCTAAGTCTTTCCTAGCCATTAGTCAGCTTCAGATGCCGATGAGGTAGCTGTGTTTGACCTTGTCAGCATTATTGAGAAAGGTGCGCCCCTACCTGAGCATTGGCTTCATACATCCATAGTCTTGAGGTAAGTTCATTTGCCTGCTTGATCCAAGTTATTATGGGCCTTGCTCTGGGTCTTCTGCCTGCCTGCCGCATAATTAGTCGCTGTCGCTGTTTGATTATCCTCGCCAGTGACATTTGCAGGGCAAATCCAAACCATTGTAACTGCAAGTTTTCACTCGTAAGGATGAGTGGCTGGTTTCTAAGAATTTCTTTGATTTCCCAGATTATATCATTCTTTCCTTTTTTTAAGTCACTGTTTCTGGGTTCATTATAAATTTTCATAATTATTAAGGATGTTGAGGATCATGCCGCTTCCACGCCAAGGATTGCATGCGTCTGTCGTTATCCTTTATTCGTTACACAGACTGGAGGTTGGGTTTACGGCTAACTGATTAGTGTGGTTTTACTGATTACTTGCGAGTATAACACTGGCTTAATATGACATAATGGAATAGTTTTGAAACATGCGTTTGCATTATTTTGTTTAACACCTCTATTTTAGGGTTATAAAATGGACGACTTGCTTACCTCGTATATAAGCTACTTTTTATCTGAAGAAAATCATAATATATAGGCGGCGGTACTAAGTACAAAGAGTGGCCGGTCATGTGTACTTATAACATTTTTGTTCTGAGAACACTTTGTACAGATATTTATTGAATTTGATCTAAACACGTTGTCGCTCTCTCATGTGATAATCACAAAAATGAAAAATTATCCATCTTGTTCGTCGCAAGGCTTTCTTGTCGAGCTTTGAGCCAACAACTGTTAGCATACCGTTGAGCCTTGCATATCAGTCAGATTGATTTCGTCGATGCCGATGTATGATAATTCGTTTCGAAGCTTCTTCGCGTTAATTTGCAACTTAATTAAAAACGCATATATCGAATAAAGAAGATCAAAACTGGTTTATTGAAAATAAAAGCAATTTGTCAATCGGTGTTTGACTTGTACCCACGCTTCAGTCAGTGTCTCACTAGCCTTCTTCAAGGTAGCGAGGTGGATTGGCTTCTGAAGTTCTTTTGCAGTTTACGCATGTTCTATCATTTGGATTCAGCAGGCCAGATGTTAGAATCGAAGGCTCCAATTGTTAGAACAGCTGCGAGCAACAAAGAACTTATGACGCCAACCCCTTCTCTATCTTTAAGTCGGCTCCTGATACACGAAGTAAAATGTCAGTATTGGGTCAATCATCCAACTGACCATATAATGTACCCTGTTTATTAATAGACCGTTTTATGCTGCTTTTCAGTACGACCACTAACGCAGAAACGAAATTCTCAATAACTAATAATAAAGTATAATAATTAAGGAATTCTTCATTGGTTCTAGACACTAACAATATGCTAATGTTAAAGTCCATTAGGACTATTCAAATTTTAATCTAGTAGCATTAGTCATCCTCAGATTTTTTCCTATATTGTCCAACTCACAAGACTTGCTTTCACTTATATAATCGATTCATGTAACCATCCTCGTTGATCATGTGACGAAACTACTGACAGAGATTTCTGCCCACTGCCCTATGAAACAATCGCAATGCAATCGTGCCGTCGTCTTCCGGACGGTGACTCATATTCAGGCTATCGGACACATAGAAGACAGCTTACTTGAGCAGATCCTCCAGTCGTAGAGCCGTTCAACAGTACCATCGCCAGAGGTCTCAGTTCATTACCGCGATAATCCAAATACTGACAACGCGTTTATGGTGACAGCAGGAATATGATCCGTCAGATAAAAAAATCGAAAAGTCGACAGGGTCTGTCTCCGTCATAACCTTCGGTATTCGAATGGCGGTTACAGATTTTACTTTCTTTAAAAAAGTGAACTGATATACCAGCCATGCAAGTTAACGATGCTTGCAAAAAATACGAAACAGGACAAAGATATGAGTTTGTGTTGCTGCGTTTACATACCGTGTTGTAGTTGCCCGGATCTATAGCCTTTGCGATGCAGTTCCATTTATGTGGCTCCATCGGATCGACCTCTGGTGACTCATAAATGGTAATCTTTCGTTCGTTCGAAAACAGGTTTACGGTCAAGTAACTCTCTGCGCCTGCATTATAGTAGCAGAAAGTCAGCCTGCCCCACTCGCTAAGGTCAAACGGCTTTGTCTCGACTATCGTTACGTTGCCAGGTCCCGTCACGTATCCAAAGGGTCCGGCTGTAAAGAAGTCCATTGCATTTACAGTCGTACAATAGTGCGCACTTACAGTACTCTAAACGTATGCCCGTATGTCGATTTCCCACCTTATGCGAGTTGGTGCGAAAGCCTTTTCTGAAATAGTGACTACAGTCCGACGAAGGGTAGCCTAAAATTGGAAAAGATTTTAGAGTATCGCGCTTCAAGCTGCCGCACATTTTAAAGGTACGCTGGCTATGAGGCATGATAAGTTTGGGTATTTATTTGCACAGCAGAATATACTGTAGATACTGAAGCATTAGTAATTACTACG